GGCAGGGCGGCCGGCGAGGGCGTCAGCGGCCCGTTGAGGGCCTCCAGCAGCGACACCACCTCGTAGCCCGGGGGGATGTTCTCCGAGGACTGGGGAGAGAGGGGAGATGGGGTGAAGGGCCCCCCTGGGCTGTTTTGCTGCCCACTGCCCCCACTGGGATCGAGATGCCCCGGGGAAAAGCCAAAACCCAGAGAACAGACAAACTCCTGCACAAATGAAAGCCCCAAATCCATGATCTTTCTACCCAACCAAAAGCCCTTTTTTTGCAATATCAACCTCGCATTTTTTGCAAGATCAATTTACATTAAAGAAATAAACCCTGGCCCCGGGAAACATGTGCATCCCCAAACCGCCCTGGCCCCAGCACCGGCTGGGCCAGGCTCGGCTGGGCACTGACCGAGTGCTCCTCGGAGTCGGAGGTCTGCGAGGCGATGATGGGGTTGAAGCTGGTGGGCGAGAGGGGACCCAGCTTTTTCCTCATGGCTCGGATTTGAAGCAAGGCTCGGAAAGCTGCGGCAGCGGGGACGAAGGGGGGGGTGAAAACCAGGTGCTGAAAGGAGACCCCCCCAAAATGCCACCCCATTTCCCAGCAGGGGCATCCCCACATGGCATCGCTGCATGTGGGGCTGGAGGGACCCCAAAACCTGAGGATGGGAGATGCCAGAAGCCTCCCAGAGATGCCAGCCACCCCCCCGGAGATGCCAGCCCCCCCCGGCCCTTACGCAGCCTGCAGATGGGGCAGTTGTTGGCCTGGTAGCGCAGGGTGTCGGCGCAGGTGTTGCAGAGGCAGAGGTGGCGGCAGGGCAGGATGAGGGTGTCGCGGACGTCCGAGAGGCAGACGACGCACTCAGCGCTGTTATCGCTCACCTCGTCCTCAGCCACCTACCCCGCGGGAGAGACGGGAGCCGCTTGGCATTGGGGTCCCCAACCCGCACAGCACGAGGGTGGGTGCCCTAAAACACCGGCTGGGTGCCCCGAGAGCTTGCTGCGGGGTCCTGCCTCTGTCCCCGGGCTGCCTGCTCTTGACATACAACTCTGGGACCTTATCCCTCCCCTCCCGGAGGCTGGGAGATGGGGCTGGAGCCATCAGGCACCCCATGGAGGGATGCGTCCTTCACCCCAACTTATATATATATATATATTCTACATATTTATATATAAATAAATCAGAGGGGGAGGCACGTGCCACATTCCGAGCCCCATGGTGCCCTCCTAAGCCAGCAAGATCCAGCCACTGAGCTCCCAAGGGACCACAAAGGACGGAGGAAAAAGGCTCAACCCTTCATCTTTCTGCCTCCGGCAGCTTCGATGCCAACACACCACACCTGCACCGCCCCGGGAAGCTCCATGTTGTGCTGCCAGCTCTTGCCCCGTGCCTGTGTTAGCTGCTGGACCTGTGCTAGGGGAACGGGAGAGGGGATGAGGGAAGACCCATGGGACGCAGGCTGCGAGATGGAGGTGCGTACCTTGGAGTCCTGCGTGTTGTACTTGTTCTCGATGCCGTAGATCTCCTGCAGGAGGTAGCTCACACCATCCACCTGCAACCCCGCGGGGAAGGGGTGAGGAGCGAAGACAGAGCTCCCCCAGCTGCCGAGGCTCCCGGCCCCCTCCTCGGGCCAGCCCTCCTCCCCGCGACGTCCCCACTTGACACTGCCGGTGGTCCCCAAGCTCCCTGGCAGGCAGGGGCAGGGCAGGGGCAGGCTGCTGCCCCCCCGGGGGTTTGCTGCTCCCCGAAAGCCCCTCGCCGCCTTCCTTCCCAGGGGTGCGCAGGGCAGGAGCTGCCGCCCCCCGCGGGGACACCCGGACACTCACCACTTGCTTCTGCTTGAGGGGCTTCACGCAGAAGGTGCCGTCGCTGTGCTGGAGGGAGGAGAGCACACGGGTGGGCACTGGGGCTGAGCACCCCAGGGACCGCCATGCTCGAGCACCCACGGGACCGCCGTGCTCGAGCACCCACCCGCCCCGTAGCTGTCGCCGCTCCCACCCAGCCCATTTTGCAGCAATTCTGTTTTTCCCCGCCACCCCGGTACCAGGCAGGCATGGGATGTCACACACATCGCAAGGCTGGAGACTTGCTGGAGCAAGGAAGATGGAGTTGAGACCAAATGCCTCAAAAGTGGGTGCTTAAAATCAAGGATTTGGGGGATATTCCCAGAACTGCAGAAGCAGCACCAGCCCGAGCCCTGCGGGGTTTCTGCAGGCTCTCGCACCCAGTGGGCAAGGGGGCAGGAGGCGGAGGATAGCCCCAGCTTGGCCCTTACCTTCTCAAAGGTGGCCAGCAGCACGTGGCAGTGGCCGGTGTGCTCTGCAAGACACAAAGGGACGGCAGGGCTCAGGGGACAGCCAGGGCTGCGGCGGCAGCAAGAAGCCGGAGGCTCTGCCTGGTCGGTGCAAGGGCTGGCACCGCGGTGCCAGCAGCCGGGCAAGCCCAGCCCAGCGAGGAACCCCCTCCTCACCTTCTCCTTCATCCACCACCGCGTGCACCACCATGGGGTACACCTCCCGGTCCAGGTCGAAGCCCAGCTGGAGAGAGACAGGAGGAGAGGCTTGGTGAGATGGAGCAGCGATGGAGGCTTCATCCTGCATCCGTAACCGTACCCGACCCCGCGGTCGATGCCGCGGTCCGGTGGGACCCACCTCCTCCTCGCTCCACTCGGAGGGGTCGACGGTGTGGGAGGGCACGCAGAACTGCTGGCACACCCCCCGCTTGTAGTGCACGGTCTCCGACTGCAGGCTGTTGTCCCTGGGGATGTAGCTGTCCCATGGAGAGAAGACAGAGTCAGGGGCACCGCGCGTGTCCCCGCGCTCCTCCGGTCCCCTGGCTTGCGAGGATGCCAGGAAGACGGGAGAGAGGGGGGTCCCTGCTCCCCTCCCCTCCTGAATGCCTCTTGGGGCTGGGACAAGCAGCCCTAAAGAACTAAAGTAATCCATGGAGCTAAAATAACCCCAGGGCAGCCAACATGGGACAGGAGGGGACAGGGACAACCCCGCAGCCAAGCTGGTGGGGACTGGGAGGGGCAATGATTTCCCCTGGTCTCAGCTCTGACCTGGAGGTAACAAGAGGCAGCAGGATGGGACAGGGAGGAAGGTGGCGGGGGCTGGCAGGGACCTGGCAGGGGCACCGGGGGGAGGCGAGGAACCCCCCTCCAGCCTCGGCACCGCCGGCAGCCGGCCCCCGCCCCCAGGGGGGGGGGCGCGC